CCCCCCCCCGCCAAAGTTTCAAGCCCAGACTGGGGAATTTAGCAGGACCCTTCCTTAAAAATAAAAAACAAAAAAGAAAAAAGTCCTTAGCTTAGTGTGCAGGTCCTGGGTTCGATCCCTATTACTGCAAAAGAAGGAGAATAAATGTGAATTAAAGCCATGTGTTTTGGCTTGTAATAATCCCAGCTACTTGGGAGACTGAGGAAGGAGAATCAAAAGTGTAAGGCCAGCCTGGGCAATTTAGCAAGGCCTTGTCTCAGAATAAAAAATAAAGGGAGCAGGGTGTCGTAGTGCATACTTGTAATCCTAGCACTCTGAAAGGTTGAGGCAGGAGAATTGAAAGTTCAAGCCCAGCCTTGGCAATTTATTGACTTAGTGAGACCCTGCCTCCCAAAATAAAAAGGGCTGGGGTTGCAGCTCAGTGGCAGAGTATTTGCCTAGCATGTGTGAGGTCCTGAGTTCAATCTCCAGGACCATAAGAAAAAAGAAAGTGAATTGAAAACTCAGCTATAAAAAAAAAATCCAGGGCCAGGAATTTAGCTCAGTGGTTCCGCCACCTGCCTCTCAAGCGCAAGGACCTGAGTTCGATCCCCAGTACCAAAAAAAACAAAAACAAAAACAAAATTCAGCTATAGTGGGACATAGTGGCATATGCCTGTAATCTCAGTCAGGAGGCTGAGGCAAGAGAATCGCTTATTCAGGTTCGAGGCCAGCATGGGCTACATAATGAGTTCAAGGCCAGCCTGAACTACATAGCAAGAACCTGTCTCAAACAGATGAACAAACAAATAAATAAAGAGGGCTGAGGACGTAGCTCAGTGTGAAAGCTGGGTTAAAAAAAAGTTAGGGAAGGCTGGGGATTTAGCTCAGTGGCAGCATGACTGCCTTGAAAGCCCAAGGTTCTGAGTTCGATCCCCGGTACAAAAAAAAAGTTAGGAAGCTGGTCTGGAGGGCCATGTGCTTCTGACTTCCTGAGACTCTTTGGCTCTTTATTGTAGGTGCAGAAAGGGCCATTACTCTGAAGATGGAGATTCCAGGCCCGATGCCCCCGCTGATCCGAGAAATGCTGGAGAACCCTGAAATGTTTGAGGACGACTCCTCACAGCCTGGCCCCCACCCCAAGGCCTCCAGTGAGGATGAGGCCCCCAGGGGCCAGAGCAAAGGGAGCCGGAGCCCCCAGCCTGACTAGGGCCCCTGACCTCCTCCGACGTGGGGTTGGGCTCCAGGCAGCAGACTGACCATCTCCTGGACACCACCAGTGACTGGGGGAGGACCTGCTCTGCCCTCTCCCCACCCTTCCAGCAAGCTCCTTGTTTTGCCAAAGTTTCCGGGGGTGCCTCTGTGTTTATCCCTTCCTGCTCCTACGGTTCCACTCCAGTCCTGGGAGCCTGCTCTGCTCCCACCGGGAGAAAGGGTGGAGGGGTGAGCCTGGGTCTGAACTGTAAAATCTCAGCACTGCCCCTCAGATACCAGGGACCCAGGCTCCCCAGGGTAGGAGGAAGGCCCTGTCATCCCATAGCCCCTTCCTCTGCTGGGTGCTTGGGCCTCTGGGAGCAAACAGGAACACTAGAGACCACAACGGGGGCCCAGGTGGGCTGAGCCCACACTCTTGCCCCTGCCCTTGGTGCCTAAAGCTGTGATGCACCTGTTGGTGCACGTTGCCCTCGTGCCCAGTTCTCACACCAGGTCAGGGTGGGGGCAGGCTGGGCCCTGCATTTCTGAAGTGACACTTGAGGATGAAAGGGACAGATGCAGGTCCATTCTGCACCTCTTTGCTGGGGTGCAGTGTTTACCCAGGCCTTCCGTTATAAGCCCCTCCCCAGCCTTGTCAAGTGCCTTGGGCTCCTCCTGACCCCCATCTCAGCCATCAGGCAGGGACCCTCTACACTACAGAAGGGCCAAGGATCCCTCTCCTCCTAGTGCCTTCTACCCTTATCCCCCAGAGCAGCTTGGCCCAGGAGGGGAGTTGCTGCTTAGCTGATCCCACCCTGACCCGGAGGAAGCCTCTATTTATTTATTAGCTTTTGTTTACACCCTGGAATGACCCCTTTTTCTAGGGGTCTTGGGAGGGGGACCCCAGGACCTCTGTGACTCCTCCCTCCAATCCTCAGTTTGTATTTAGCTGCCAAATAAGATTCCCGCTGGCTCCCCTTTTCCTCTGGGGGGTCAGGGTGCTGTCCCCACCCCTCTGTTTACATCTCCCCTCCATCCTTCTGTATCGCGTCTGCATATTGCTGAGTTTTCTATTTTTGCAAAATAAAGTGATGGAAACTCCTGGGATGTGGCTCCCTCTAGGTGCAGTAGGGGAAGGGGTAGTAAGGGAAGTGGCCAGCTGACCTGGAGAGGGGGCTGGGTGGGGAGGAAGAGCTCCTAGTCTGCCAGGTTTTGCAGCTTTCTTAGGGCAGTAAAGAAAATAGGATGAAGAGTGCAGAGGGAAGGAAAGGAGCCCAAGGGCCAGCCATTTGTGCTGGGCTTCCCCCAGCCACCCCATGTCCTTCCATGAGACCCAATGGGCCTCGTGTTAAGTGTATGTGTGTATCTGGAGAGGCTCCACTCAAGTTTCATTTGGTGTGCATGGTTGTCCCTGGCCCCAGAAGAAACTAAGCTGCAGTGTTTCTATGTAATACCAGCCCCTCAGTAAGCTCTCCCACCCTTTGTGAGCCCCTAGGACCTTACAGCTTGTTGCCTCCACCCGTACATCTCACAATCTCCACTCCCAGGGACCCACAATGACCTAGCATCTCTCCCTCCTCACCTCTGCTGTTCCCTTTGCCAGGCCCTTGGACTCTACCACTGTGTACTGTACTACCTTCCACTTGCCCTCTGGGACTCCCTCTGCTGCGCCCCATCCTGTCCACTCTTTTGTGTTGTTTTTGTTTGTTTGTTTTGGTACTAGGGATTGAACTTGGGACCTTACGCTTGCAAGGCAGGTGGCAGAACCACTGAGCTAAATCCCTGGCCTGTGCCCACTTCTTTGGGACAGTGCTTTGTCTACCTTGTCCTTGGCTTACTTGCTTTTTTGTTTTTGTTTTTTTTTGGAGACAAGGTCTCACTGTAGTTCTGTAGCTCAGGCTGGCCTTGAACTCACTATGTAGACCAGGCTGGCCTCAAACTCTCAGGCGATCCTCCTGCCTCAGCCTCCCAAGGGCTGGACTCAGGTGTTTTCGCCACCACACCCATCATCCCTGGCTTTTTCCACTGGTGACCTCTGCATGTGGGAAAGAGGCTGAGGATGTAGGACAGGAGAGGAGAGCAGAGTGAAGGAAAGCAGAAGAAGAAAGTGAAAGAAGATTTAAGAGGAAACCACAGGGCCTGTGGGGAAAGAGAGTCACTGCCATGGTAACAACCCCAGCTGTGGGGGAAGGGTAGAAGGTCATGGGTGTCCCATTGCCTAGGGGCCAGCCGGAGACCAGCACCTCCCAGCAGTTACACTTCCAGGGTCCATGTGACCAGTACCGAGCACCTCCTGTGAGATGAGCACTTTGCTGTCTGCTGTGGCTGCAGCAGGGAGCTTCACAGGCAGTTGTCCCTAGGGGTACCCCCTCTGGTAGGGAACAGACTTGTGTCCAGGTCCCTCTCAAGCTCCCTGTGGCCAGGCGTGGTTGAGACAAATCCTGTAAGTATTTTCCACAACCTGCTCCTCGGGCTTTATCCTGCCTCAGATTCAGCAGCCGTCCTTGCGCGCTGCTCCTTTCTCCTCCACCTTTCTCACTACTTTCTTGTTCTTTGGCCCTCATGTCACATTCTCCAAGCATGGCCCTGCGCCCCTCTCCAACTTTCCCCAAGCCTCTCCTCTCACCCCTATCACTTCTCATTCCTGCTGATTCTCTTAGGGAGACACCAGGTACTCTTATGAGCGATGGATAGCTCACTTAATTGTTACCACAGCAGCCATAAGAAAGGTCAAGGAACTTGGCTAAGGGCCTTACCACTTACTCATAAAAGAGCTGGGATTGTGCTTGGGCATTTCGGCTCCAGAGCCCATGTAGTGAAGCACACTATGGTACAATCAGTGGCTGCTGTGTTTTCAAAATGAACAATAATCTCTAACTTCCCCTCTCTACAGCAGTTACTGCCTTCGTACTGCTTCCTATTCTGGTCTTCCCTATATGAGGAAGTGGGAGATCAATTTTGGAGAGGGCAGTCTTGCATGCAAATCCTAGACCAGCCACTTGCTCGCTGTGTGACCCTGGGCAAAGTTCTTTACTCCTTGCTTCCAAGCCTCAATCTATAAATCTATAAATTGGGGATAGAGGAGGGGCTAACATCTGTCTGGTGAGATTGTGACCACTAACTGTAACATGATAGTGCAGCACAGGACAAGGGCTCAGTAGATGAGCAGCCAGCTTCCACTCTTTTTTTTTTTTTTTGGTACTGAGGATCGAACTCGGGACCTTGCACTTTCGAGGCAGGCAGCAGAACCACTGAGCTAAATCCCCACCCCGCTGTATCATCCATTCTTGGTGGCCCAGCCCCTCCATATCCGTTCCACCTTCTCTTAGATCAGCCACCCCCAAAACTCCCCCACCCCAGGGTGTGTCACTTCCTCCTCTGCAGCCTCCAGATCAGTGCACAAAGGCTGTGGCTGCCTCCAGAGGAAGGGCTGCTGTGCACACACCTGTGAGTACCAGGGCCCTGGGCCCTCCTGTCTCTTCTTTCAAACTCAGGCCACCTAGTCCCAACCTTTTAGGAAGAAGGCTCTGATCTGGATATTCAGGATGCTCCCTAGTCTTGAGAAAGGCTCAGACCTTTCTGCATTTCTCTGTTGCTGCTCCCTCCTCTAGTTTCACAGACCCCATCTTTCATTGGTTTCCTAAGAGAGGGGCCCCAGGGAGGGGAAGATGAGGACATATGAGTTCGATTTTTGGTGCCTGCCATGTGCCAGGGTTATATGAAGGTAAGTCCTCCCATATCACCCCCCGCTGCCATCCCTGCTGTCAAGGCTTTGTCCTCAGCTCAGGCTTCTTCCCAGTTAGTGCACAGACCTCACACTCCCAGGGGACTGTGGGCCAGCAGGTCAGTTCTCTTCCCACCTTGTGACTCTGAGTGGGTACCGGAGAGGGAGCTACTTGGTGTGGGAGATGTGGATGGCTTGGTAGAGGCTCTTGTTTTTCTGCATCTGAGGGGTATCAATCACAGTAGAACAACCAGAGTGGCCTGGTTCCCCAATACCTAGTGACAAGTTTACCTCAAGGGTTACAGTTCCTCAAAAAGGACAGGTGCTTTTATCCTTTAATCAAAGGACAAGCCAAATTTCTGAGTGAATTGGTTTATTGAAATGTATAGAAAAGCAGGGTAAGCCAAATTATGTAAAAGGGATATATGAAAATATAGCCAAAAGTAGATAGAAAATTACTCCAGCACAGTGTTAGTATTGAACCAAACACTATGCATCCAAGGAGGAAATTGTCCGAATGGTCCTGGTGGCACTTTTACTCTCTGGAATGCCATCAAACTGACAGCAATGAAGTTAAAGCCCTGTGCTCTCAGGCTGGGCCTCTAGTGGTCACCACCTTTTCAGAGTGAATATCTGCAAAGAGTGGAGTCACAGATATGTTTTAAGTGGCAGTCTGAAGATACTAGTATTAATGGTTACAGAAGATGTGTTGGTTCAGCTTCCAGATGTCAGTTTTTGTACAGGAAGGTCCTGGATCTCACTCTTATTTAAATATTGGCACACAGTTGTCAATGTAGCTATGGGTCAGCCAGTTGTTCAGAGTGACTGTCAGCCAGTCACTGGCTCAGTTACAGTTTGCGTTACAAGAGAAAGCTCAAAATGGAGTTAGTGTTGTCAAAGCATAGTTACGTTCATCATTAAAATGCTTGGGCCAGGGATTTGGCTCAGTGGCACTGCACTTGCCTCACAAGCTCAAGGTCCTGAGTTCAATTCCCCGTACCAAAAAAAAAAAAAAAGCCAATTTATGGGCTGGGTTGTAGCTCAGTGGTAGAACACTGGCCTAGTATGCATGAGGCCCTTGGGTTCAGTGCATGGTACCAGAAATATAATTTTACAAGACTCATTTTTTTCGGTACTGGGGATCGAACTCAGGACCTTGTGCTTTCGGCGGCACCACGGAGCTACATCCCTGGCCCTAGATTTACAAGAGTCATAAAGCAAAACACACACCACAACAGGGGGCAATGAGGTGTGTTTTGGAGGCAAAATTGAATCCTGGGGAGAGAAGGGAAGACTGAAGAGGACCCCCCCAGGGAGAGAGAAATGGGATTTGGTGGAGCCCACTGGGTCAGTGGGGAGAAGACAGGAAGGTGCTGGTACTGGTGCTGGGGTGGGAGAGGAGCAATCCAGCGATGCACCCAGAGGCCAGCTCTACTTCCTGTTCACTTGGCTTACTCTTGAGGACTTAGGTTTCTTTCTGTAAGGGAGGGGTTGAAGTAGGAGATACTGCCATTCTATAGTTAGGATCAGATGGGAAAAGGAAGTAAAACAAAGAACTGTGAAGAAGTAGAGAAGAGAAAAGCTGCAGAGAGATGTAATAGAATTTTTAAATAGGAAGGAGAAAGAAGAAGGAGAGAGACCAAGATGAGAGAGAGGAGGGATGGGCAGCAGCAGGGTGCATGGGTCCCCAAAGAGGAGAGAAGGGAAAGGAGAGGAGGAGGGGCCTCCTTTCGGGAGGTGGGTGGGCTTGAGGTCTCTGGGTTTGCCCTCTCCTGGGAGCCCGTGTGGTAGCCAGCGGGGCCCACCTGTGAGCTGAGTCAAAGCTGGGCTCCCTGCGGCCGCACCTCCAGCCTCACTGACCACAGCACGCAAGGGCTGAGGTTGCACTGGGCTGGCTTCTCCCGGAGGTGAGGCGGAGCTCTGTTTTGTACCGAACCTGTCTGAGGTCAGGGGCGGCGGGGGACAGGATGGGGGTGTTCAAACCCTACCCGTTCCCCACACTCTCAGCACAGCTTCTGGACTTGAGCCAGGTGGGGGAGGAGGCAGCGACCTCGTGACGAGGTGTTAGTGTCCTTTCCCCAGCGGGTGACAGCGCAAACTGCTATGATCCCTAAGCCCAGGAAAGGACGCCTACCTGAAGATCTCTCTTGCACATCCTTCTCCAGGGATTTATCTTACAGATTCACTTGTACACGGGGTAAACTGGTAAACACGTTATTTTTCCTTGCAGCATTATTTTTAATAGGGAACAATGATAAACAATTTGATTAATTAGTTAAGATTTTTGGGGTGCTAGGGAGGGAACCCAGGGCTTTGCACGTGTTAGACAAGCACTCTACCAATGAGCTACATCTCCAACCCCAAAACAATTTAAATGCTCGTTAAGGGACTAAGTACAACACGATGTGCCTATGGAATGGAAATCTGAATGGGTGTGAAGATAAAAAGGGAAGTTATTTTCTCAGGTAGAAAGATTTTGAAGAAAACTAGTAAAAGAAAAACACACAAAGGGCAAAATTCTGTATATTTTACCATTTATAGAATTCTACCATTTGATTTAATCAACTGAAAAGTACAAATATTTATATTAATATCTGCAAAAAAAAGCAATCTCTAGAAAGATTAAAGAAACAAAGAAATAAGCTAGGGTAGGTATAAAAATGGGTTTATGTCCTGAATTCAATCCCTGCTACCAAAAAACAAAAAACAAAAAATGGGTCTATGGGGCATGGAGTATGTGATTTCTTACTATCTTATTTAACATTTAAATTTTTTAATGGTAAAATACACATTCAAATTTATCATTTTAACTGTTTTAAGTATACAATCATTAATTTCAGAACTCTTCAAATTACTCCCAAAAGAAACTGCCCTTAGCTGAGAATGGTGACATGCACCTGTAATTTCAGCATTCTGGGAGACTGAGCCAGTAGGAGGATAGCAAATTTGAGTTCAGCTTGGGCAATTTAGCAATTCATTGAGCTCTTGCCTCAAAATAAAATGAACTAAATAAAAATGGGAGCTGGGCTTGGTGGCACAAGCCTGTGATCCCAGGATTTGGGAGGCTGAGGCAGGAGGATTGCCAGGAGTTCGAGGCCTTTCTGAATTACATAGTGAGGCCCTGTCTCAAACACACACACACACACACACACACACACACACACACACAAATGAGTCGAGCATGTAGCTCTGTGTGAGGGCCTTTTTACTTTTTCCCATTACTGGAGATTGAACCCAGGATCTCATGCATGCTAGGGAAGTGCTGTACCACTGAGCTATATCCTCAGTTCTTTTTATTTTATTTTGAGACACTGTTTCTCTAAGTTGCCCAGGCTGGCCTTGAACTTACATACTTCCTGCCTCAGCCTCTCAAATAACTGGAATTAGAGCACCACTGTACCTGGCCCTCCTCTTGATAATGTTCTGTGATGTACAAGGGTAAATTCTGATGAAGTCCAATTTATCTGTTTCTCTGGAGTTTTGCTTATGTTTTGGTGTTATGGCTAAGAATCCATTGCTAAATGCAACTTCATGAATATTCTTCTCTATATTTTCTTCTAAGAGTTTACAGTTTTAGCAGTTATATTTACATTTTTAAAAAATTGATTTTCAGCTGGAGATTTAGCTCAGTGGTTCTGCCACCTGCCTTGCAAGCACAAGGACCTGAGTTCGATCCCCTGTCCAAAAAACAAAAACATAAACAAAAATGGTAAAAAATTGATTTTCAGTTAAGTTTGTATACTATCGGGATCTAACTTCATTCTTTTATATATGACCACCCAGTTGTCCCAGCACAATTACATGATGGCTATTATTTTCCCATTGAAGTATTTGGTCCCCCTTTTGAAGATCAGTTGGCCATGAGTGCACAGGCTGACTTCTGGAAACACATCTCTGTTCCATTGATTTCCATGTCTGTCCTTATGCCAGTAGTACCCTATATTGATTAATGTGGCTTTATAATAACTTTTGAAACTGGGAAGTGCGAGTATTCCAAATTTATGTATTTTTTTCAAGATAGTTTTGACTGTCTAGGATCCTGTGCACTTCCATATGAATTTTAGGATCAGTTTTTCTATTTCTGTAAAAAAAGAGACCCATTGGGATTTAGCATTTTGATTTTTGAAGCATGGTAACGGGTTGTCTATTCAAGTGTTTGTTGTGGTTTTTGAGACAGGGTCTTACTGTGTGATCCAGGCTGACCTCAAACTCAGAATTTTCCTGCCTTAGCCTCCACAGTGCTGGGATGTGCCACCATGCCCAGCTTCTGTTGTCATTTTGTGGTGCTAGGGATCCAACCCAAGGCCTTGTGCATGGTAATCATGCATTCTACCACTGAGCCACACCTCCAGCCCTTTAATTTGATTTATTTATTTTTAAAAATTTGAGTCAGAGTCTCACTGTGTGATTCAGGCTGGCTTCAAACTCACAGTGGTCCTCCTGCCTCAGCCTCTCGAGTGCTGGGATTACAGGTATGTGCCACCACGCCTGGCTCTAATTAAATTTTTAAAAATCAGGAATTTGCATAGTTTTCCTAGAGGTCTTCCCAGGAATAACCCTGTGTCCAGGCTCTTTCACAATCTAGAGTTCCTTTTTGCAAAAGTACAGAAAAGAGAAAATTTTACCAACCTTGGTCTTCCTTCCTTATCCTGGACCTTTAGGAAGTTCTTCACTGGACCTGCTGGCACATTCTGGGAGACTGAGACAGGAGGATTGCATGCTTGAGCCCAGTGTGGGCAACTTAGCAACTTAATGAGATCCTGTAGCTCAGATGTGAAGGCTGTGGGCTGCTAAGCAAACAAAAAAGGAAGTTCTCCTGATCTAACCTTCATTCCTCCTCAACCAAATAGAGCTACCATTCCCTAACTCTCTTGCTCCATCTGCTCCAGCCTTTTGTTTGCCTTCCTACTTATTGACCCTCAGCACTAGGGATGGAACTCAGGACTTTACTCTTGCCAGGCGCAGGCAGCACCACTGAGCTACATCCCCGGCCCCTGCTTTTCTTAATAAGAATCCAAGACTGTAAGCTGTGGAGGCTGTTGGATTAGTCAGATCGTTTATTCAACTCCCTCACTTTACAGATGCAGAGACTGAGACTCAGAGAGGAAGCCTGACGTGCCACTCAGCCAGTGAGTAACTGAGGTATAACCGTGGGACAGTGGAACAGATCTGGTGTGTTTTATTTGGTTCTACTTCTACTACAGTGTAGAGTCTTGGTGGGAAGACTCGGGTGGAGCCCTCGATGCCTCAGGCCCAGTCCTCAGACCCTTTGGGGCTACTCTGTCCATGTGAAGTCTGAGCACAGGAAGGACAGGTCTTTTTTTTTTTTTTTGGTACCGGGGATTGAACTTGGGTCCTTGTGCTTGCGCAGCAAGCGGTGAAACCACTGAGCTAAATCCCCAGCCCAGGACAGGTCTTCTTGAAGGCTACTATCCTGGCCTGGTTTAACCCCTTCCTGTCATTTTGAAGAAACTGCTGAATCCACAGGTTGATGTGAAACTGTGAGGAGAGAGAAAGATTTTAGAGTGGCAACCACAGTGGAGTTTAGAGGACTGAGAGTTTGGAGGTCCTGAGGACCCATGTGTTTCCTTTATATCCTTGTACAGGCCATGGTGGTTTTGTCAATGCCTCTTGTTTTCCTGCTGGTGCTGGGCAGAGGTGAGAGTAAGTTGGACACCAAGATCTCATCCCCAGGGGAGGCCACAGAATGGGGGGATCCTGATCTGACCCTGCCGGGGTCCTGCCACCCAGCTCCCTCCTGTCAGAAGTGCATCCTCTCACACCCGAGCTGTGCATGGTGCAAACAACTGGTAAAGACGAGCCTGCAGCCTTTGAGCCATGTGTCTGTGTATGCGTGGCCTATGTGTGTGGCTGTATGGTCACGTGTAATTTTTCTGGGTACACTCTGCAGTCTCAGGTGTGACTGAGTGTGTGCACACAGGACTGCTATGTGGGATTGTGTGAATGTGCATTCACATGCTTATAAGTTTCCTATGCATGTACGATTAGGTTTGTATCTGTTTATTTGTATGTGTGGAAGACTTGTGACCCTGACTGCAGAGGAGTGTGTGCCTATGGGAGTCCATGCTTGTATATCAGTAGAACAGCCTGCTCTGTATCTATACATTCAAGAAAATGTGTTGGCTACTTCAGGGTGCCATAAGAAGATACCACAGGCTGGGTGGCTTAAGTTACAGGACTTTCTTCCTTTCTTTTCTCTCTCTCTCTCTCTCTCTCTCTCTCTTTCTCTTTCTCTCTCTCTCCAACAGGGTCTCATTATGTAATTCAGGCTGGCCTTTTACTATGTAACCCAGGTTAGCTTTGAAGTAATTGGGGTCCTCCTGCCTCAGCCTCCAGCGTGCTGGGAATTCAGGAATGTGCTACCATGCCAGGCGAGAAGAATTATAAGAATTAAAAGAATTAATTTCTTATAATTTGGGAGGCTGGGAAGGCCAAGATCAAAGTGCTGGCTGATTTGGTTCCCCAGTGAGAGACCTCTGGCTGGCTTGTTAGGTCCTTACATAGTAGAGAGAGAGAGGACCAAGCTCTCTCATGTTTCTGTTTACAAGGGCACTAATCCCATCACAAGGGGCCCACCTTCAGGACTTCATCTAAATCTAATTACCTCCCAAGAGCCCCATCTCCAAATACTAACACACAGAGGTTAACATAGGAATTTGGGGAAAGAATTGTCCACTCTGTAGCAGAGAGCGCCTGGGTTTTTGAGTCTCAATTCCTAGATGTGTAGTAGCCTGTAGCTGGGCTGGCAAGAGGAAGAGAAGGCTTCCACAGGCCTGTGTGCTTGTGGTGGGAGTGTGCAGGAAGATTTAAGCTTCCTAAGTGGCTAAGGGGCTGCAGAGTGAAGTCGCCTCGGCTGATAAAACAAGGCTGTTTTTTGTTTATGCCTTAAAGAGGCAGGGCTCACGGGAGAGCCCCCAGGGCTACTGAGCTGGGGGTGGGGCAGGACCACTGTCTCTCTCACAGGCAGATGAATTAGATCAGTGCAGGTCCCAGCTGGGGTGGGGGTGGGAGCACATTCAGAGGGCAGTCAGAGAGGTCCAGGAAAAAGGCAGGTAGTGCACCTGGGAGAACAGGAAGGGTAGGCATGAACTAGAATCTGCAGGAGGCAGAGAGGCAGAGGTGCCAGGTTGAGGTTGAGAAGATGAGCCTCAGGACAGTCAAGTCTGTGTCTGCCTTCTCCAATCCCTAGACCAGGGGCTGGCACCCTGGCCAGCTGAGAAGCCACCCTAACCATTTCCTTCCCCTGCGGCTTCCCAGTCATTGCAGGGGTACCAGACATACTGCGGGGAGGCATCTCCTCTCTGACCCTGTCCTCCTCTCCAGGAACTGTGGGTCTTAGCCTGACCTCCTTCCCATTCGGGACTGGGCATGCAAGGGACACTGTACTCTTTCTGTGGCAGTGAGGTCCCTGAGATCTTAACAGGAAGTCTGTGGCTTTTGGGGGTGGGGAAGGATAGGTGGCTGGGGAAGGGGGAGGTAAGGGGAGGGGAAGGGACTGCTTTAGGAAGTGGGGGCTCTGACAAGGAAGAAAGGGCCAGAGTTCAAGAACAGCTGTAGAGGAGAGGGGAGAGAACCACAGGGGCTCCCGGATTTAACTGAGAGCGGAGGAATAGGCGACTGGGACGACCTGGTTCGCGGGGTGGTTTGGGAGCGGGCAGGGGCCTCGCGTGCTGGGTTCCAGACACGTCTCTTCTTGCCGCCCAGAACTTCACCGCCTCTGGGGAGGCGGAGGCGCGGCGCTGCGCAAGACGCGAGGAGCTGCTGGCTCGGGGCTGCCCGGCACAGGAGCTGGAGGAGCCCCGTGGCCGGCAGGAGGTGGTGCTAAACGAGCCGCTCAGCCACGGCACCCGCGGCGAGGGGGCCACGCAGCTGGCGCCGCAGCGGGTCCGGGTCACGCTGCGGCCAGGTGAGTCCCGGGCGGGGCGTCCGGGCGGAGGTCTGGGCAGGGGTCCGGGTGCGCCCCGCTGACTGGAGTGTGCTCGCCCAGGGGAGTCCCAACAGCTCCGGGTCCGCTTCCTCCGCGCCGCGGGATACCCGGTGGACTTGTACTACCTTATGGACCTAAGCTACTCCATGAAGGACGACCTGGAGCGCGTGCGCCAGCTGGGGCACGCCCTGCTGGTCCAGCTGCAGGAGGTCACCCACTCCGTGCGCATCGGTGAGCCGCGCTCACGCGGGCGCCACCCTCCCCAACTTTTGCCTCTGCTGCTGCCTTCGACCTCTGCCTTAGCCCCGCCAAAGTCCTGGACTCACCACCCCAGTCCGTGCCTTCTCCGTGTTTAACAGAGGTGCCAGGCCACGGAATCCTGACTTCTCTCCCTAGAAACACCATCTTTAGGTCACAGCTGGAGAAGGCATAGGACTAACTGTCGAGTAGGACCCCTCACTTTACAGGAGGGCTGAAGCCCAGAGACTGCAGCAACGGTGTTCAGACAGCTGCCCAGCATCGTACAGCTGCCTTGGACCTCCCACCTTGGACAGGGCCCTGATGCCACCATCTCACCTCAGTGTCCCCTGGACAAGGCCTACCTGCCACTGTCGCTGCTCTCCATTCTGTGCTCATCTCTCCTATACTCAAGGGCCTCTCCTTTGCCTCCTGCTACTTCTATACCCTACACCCTGGTTTTCCTCAGCTTTTAGGAAGCCCCTACCTGCCCGTTGCATCTTCTTAATCCCCCTGCTCCCATCCCCAACCTGGTGGTCTCACCCTTTGTGGGGTACTGGGTCCCAGCCTTCTAGGAGCACTTCCCATGGCTTCTCTAGGAGCAGCCCTTCCCTTCCCATGGACTCCTCCTTTTGAATTAGCAGTGACCCTGGCACAGGCCTTCTGTTCACCCCCAGGTTTTGGCTCCTTTGTGGACAAAACAGTGCTGCCCTTTGTAAGCACAGTGCCTTCCAAGCTGCGCCACCCCTGCCCCAGCCGGCTGGAGCCCTGTCAGTCACCTTTCAGCTTTCACCACGTGCTGTCCCTCACGGGGGATGCTCAGGCCTTTCAGCGGGAGGTGGGACGCCAGAATGTGTCCGGCAACCTGGACTCACCTGAAGGTGGCTTTGACGCCATTCTGCAGGCTGCCCTCTGCCAGGTGAGGAGGTGGGGCCAGAATGAGCATCTGAATGACTGCACCTATGGTTGTGTAGTGAGTGTCCAATTCTCTGGGGTTGCCATTCATAGCATCTTCACTATATTTTGCATATTTATTTATTTATTTATTTAGGTACTGGGGATCGAACTCATGACCTTGCGCTTGTGAGGCAGGCATGGTGCCACTGAGCTCCGATTAACAATTACCTGGTGGATTGGAATGAAATACTGTACCTTGAGGAAGAGGCTCCTTTTTTTCCTTCACTTCTTCACTAGCAGCAGCCCTGTTTTAGGGGGTGTGGAGGGCAAGAGAAGCTGGTGGCAGAGGGATGGACAGCTGGCACATCTGTGGCTCATGGGGCTGGCTGGGGCTGCTCTCTGGTCATGCCCAGGTCCACAGCCCAGTGCCCCCCTACCTCAGGAGCAGATTGGCTGGAGAAATGTGTCCCGGCTGCTGGTGTTCACTTCAGATGACACATTCCACACAGCTGGGGATGGGAAGTTGGGTGGCATTTTCATGCCCAATGATGGGCACTGCCACTTGGACAGCAATGGCCTCTACAGTCGCAGCTCAGAGTTCGTGAGTGCCTCCTCATTCTAACCTCTTCATCTGAGCCTCTTCAGCCCCCACTCCCCACCCCCTGGCCTCACTCTCCTTCCTGGTGATCATCTGTAGATATCCTGCCATCGTCCCCTGGAGGTTCTCCTCCCCGTCCCCAGATGCTGGGCCAGCCAGGAAACCTGTGTCTCGCACTCCTTGCTTCCTTCCTTCTCTTTACTAAGTCTCCAGGACTCCTCTGGCTGGTGGAACCCTGGGTCCTGGGTTTCCTGGGCTGAGGGCACCTGGCACGTTGTGGGGAGATCTGTGGTGCTCACCTTGTCCCCACTCCTTGCCTCAGGACTACCCCTCTGTGGGTCAGGTAGCCCAGGCCCTCTCTGCAGCAAATATCCAGCCCATCTTTGCTGTCACCAGTGCCACACTGCCCATCTACCAGGTGAGATTGGAGTGCAGACCTCCTGTACTCCCAACTTCCTCAGTTCCTCCAGACCAATCCCCCCCCCCGGCCCCGCCCATGTGCCTCCATTCTGGGCCCTAGCAGCCCATGTTCTTAGAGCTGTGTGCCACTGTTCCCTCAACTCCTAACTCAGGAGCTGAGCCAGATGATTCCCAAGTCTGCAGTGGGCGAGCTGAGTGAGGACTCCAGCAATGTGGTGCAGCTCATCATGGACGCTTACCATGTGAGGGCTGGGTCTGGGGAGTGTGGTAAGGGTAGGCACAGAGGTGAGGTGGAAAAGGATCTTCAGCTGGGGTGGCAGAACCAAGGGCATGGCTACTTTTCAATTCTACCATTCCACAGCTGCTACCTATAGGTAGCTATGTAGTTCCAGCTGGCCTTGAACTCACTGTGTAGTCTAGGCTGGTCTCAAACTTGCCATGATCCTCCTGCCTCAGCCTCCTGGGTGTGAGGATTACAGGCCTGCACCACCACACCTGGCCATTAAGTGTCTGGTCTGCACAGAGCATGCAGCCCTCCCTGCCCTGGGCAAGGAAAGGTAACCACATTCACTGGGCTTTTACATCATGCCAAGTGCTTTCCTAGTACACATACTATCCTGCCATCTCCTTTAATCACCCTACTTCACAACTGTTATCATCCCTGCTTAGGAAGAGGGAAGAGACACAGGAGGCTAAGTGCCTGTCCAAGGTCACACAGATAACAAATAGCTGTACCTAGAGAGCCATCAAGCTATCTGGAGCCTGAGGCTGTTTCCGGTGTTCATAAACAATTCAGAACCCAAGACTTTTTCTCTTTCTTCTTTCTTCCTTTTTCTTTTCCTTCTTTTCTTTTCTTTTCCTTTTCTTTTCTTTCTTTCTTTCTCTCTTTAGTGAGACAGGGTCTCACTATGTAGTTCAGGCTGGCCTTTAAACTCATGGTGATCCTCCTGCCTCAACCTCCCAAATGCTGGGATCACAGGCTTGGCCACCGTGCTGGGCAGAACCAGAGACTTTTACGGGTGGCATAAAAAGTCCAAAGTGTTTCTTGGACTTCTGTTGTATCTCTCCATCTAGATTGTAGGGCTCTTGCCAGGGACCATGTCCTAAACCATGGTGAGACTGAGACAGCATCAGATTTCCCAGGGCAAACTCCATGTAATGAATCTGCCCTTAGACCACGTGTGCACACAAATGACATGTCCTGACCTTGGGTTTGACACAAAGCCACTGCACAGTTGCCAAGTCTGACAACCCCCGTGGAGCTTGCTGGCAGCTGGGCTGCCATGCTGTAGGAGAGGCTCCCAGATCCTGGGAATTCCTCAGTTCTCTCACAGGTCCTTCCCCTGAACTGCCTCCTCACAGGAGAGGACAGGCAGGGCAGGTTCAGACAGAACTGAGAAGGGCTGGAGAGAAGGGAGGGTGGGGTCGGGAGTTCTGCTCTCACGTGATTCCTCCCCGTCGTCTTGCAGAGCCTGTCATCCACTGTGACCCTTGAGCACTCTTCACTCCCTCCTGGGGTCCACATTTCTTATGAATCCCAGTGTGGGGGTTCTGAGGAGGGTGGAGCTGGGGACCGGGGACAGTGTAACCATGTTCGAGTCAACCAGACGGTGAGTACCAGCCAGGATGGGCGGAAGGATGCAGGTGGGGAGCGGGCCAGTGACACAGGCGGTGAAAGATGAGGGCAGGCAGAAGCAGGGTAGTCTTCCACTCGTCCTTTCTGAGGGGGGTTAATGCATGGCTTCCTCAAGTGTGTCTCTAGGAGATAAGTGTTAGCATAACTGTGTATCTTAACATTTACTTACTACGAGGTGTATTCTGCATGATCAAGGGCTTGGGCTCCTTCCTTTGTGCATGTATCACTTAGACTGGCTCCTGCCTGCCCTGTCTTCAGGTGAATTTTTGGGTTACTCTCCAAGCTACCCATTGCCTCCCAGAGCCCCATCTCCTGAAGCTCCGAGCTCTTGGCTTCTCAGAGGAGCTGACTGTGGAGCTGCACACACTGTGTGACTGTAACTGCAGTGACACCCAGCTCCAGGCTCCACACTGCAGTGACGGCCAGGGGCAACTTCAGTGTGGGATATGTAGGTGAGAGCCTCCTTGCCTCTTCACCCAGCTGAGTTCCATGGTGACCACCCCTCATGTTCCTTCACTTTCCACCCTCCCACTAGGGTCTAGCAGAGCCAGCCCCTCCAGGGCTCCTGACTACCATGCCCTGAAGTTTCCCTGATATGCCCAGCCCTGCCCTGAAGCAGAACCCCTCCACTCTTACCTGATGCCACCCTTGAAGCTCCACTGGGTCCTGGCACATGTCTTTCTCCAATACTTTCAAGGACCTGGGTTTATAGGATCCTGGGAGATAGGTCAGGAATGGTCAGACTCATGCATCCCTGTCCTGTGCCTTCTCCTCCCAGTTGTCTCCCTGGCCGCCTGGGTCGGCTCTGTGAGTGCTCTGAGGCTGAGCTATCCTCCCCAGACTTGGAGTCTGGGTGCCGGGCCCCCAATGGGACAGGGCCCCTGTGCAGTGGAAAGGGACAGTGTCAATGTGGACGTTGCAGCTGCAGTGGTCAGAGCTCTGGGCGTCTGTGTGAATGTGATGATGCCAGCTGTGAGCGACACGAGGGCATCCCCTGTGGAGGTACCTAAATCCTTTGGGAGAAGGGCAGGGTTAGAGGGGTCCTCCTGAGGGTACTGGGGGCCTGAGAGTCTGGTATATAAAGTTGGAGGATGTGCCTGGCACCTTTGGGTGGGATTTGGTGCGTGGTCTTGTGGTGGTGTATGAGGGCCAACTGTGTACGGGGAGCATGGTTGTCACCCTGTGGATGGCTCTATCCCAGGCTTTGGCCGATGCCAATGTGGAGTGTGTCACTGTCGAGCCAACCGCACAGGCAGAGCATGCGAGTGCAGTGGGGACACGGACAACTGTGTTAGTTCTGAGGGCAGCCACTGCAGTGGACATGGACACTGCAAATGCAACCGTTGCCAGTGTTTGGATGGCTACTATGGTGCTGTGTGTGACCAGTGCCCAGGCTGCAAGACACCATGTGAAAAACACAGGTGAGGCCTCAGGTATTGTCTTGAGAGCACTTCCATCTGCCTGCTCTCCTTCCTGCATGGGGTGTGAGCAAAGGCCAGTGGGTAATAGCTGGTAACTTATTGGCATCCATTGGACAGGGACTGTGCAGAATGTGGGGCCTTTGGGACTGGTCCTCTGGCCGCCAATTGCAGCATGGCTTGTGCCCATGCCAACGTGACTCTGGTGTTAGCACCTATCTTGGATGATGGCTGGTGCAAAGAGAAGACACAGGACAACCAGCTGTTCTTCTTCCTGGTGGAGGAGGGTGGAGGCCGAGTTGTGCTGAGAGTGAGACCCCAAGAGAGTAAGTGAAGGATGCCTGGGAGACCCTAAACAGGAGTCTTGGAAGTCTGATAGCAGGGGCTCAGAAGTGGGGATGGGGTTGTGATAACTGAAGCAGACTGGAGAAGTCCAGGGCTAAAGCACAGATAATGAGGCTAAGGCCCTAGGCCAGTGATGGCGAACCTTTTAAAGCTCTCAGTGCAGCCCATGTGCCATAGGTTTTCCACCACTTCGAGGGCAACCTTGACCCTACTGGCTTCCCTGTTTTTTGTGACAGACAGGGTTGAGAGCTAATACTGGGGGCTAATGTGGATGTGTCCCTGTATCTGAGCCACCAGTAGTTTGTGCGGTTTCTTTCCCACAGAGAGAGCAGACCACATCCAGGCCATCGTGCTGGGCTGCATAGGGGGCATTGTGGCAGTAGGACTGGGGCTGGTCCTGGCTTACCGGCTCTCAGTGGAAATCTATGACCGCCGGGAATACAATCGATTTGAGAAGGAGCAGCAGCAACTCAAGTGGAAGCAGGTGAGGAGGCTGCTTCCTGTACCACTGGGCTGGCCTCTCCTTGCTTGGTTCCTTGGCTGGGTCCCATTGATGCTTTTTTTTTTTTTTTTAATGGTTTTTTTTCCCCCCCCCCCCCAGTACTAGGGATTGAACTCAGGACCTTGCTCTTACCAAGCAGGTGCAGTGCCACTGAGCTACATCCCCAGACCCCCACTGATGCTTCTTCATCCCCCTTACTAAGCCCTCTCTCTACATGGGTGCCTCCCTCTGCACACTTAACCCATCCTGCTAACTTCCTTCAGCTCTTAGGATCCTGCTCAAGTTTCAGGCTTTTAAGATAAAGGGGAGGAGGAATCCTGAGATTTGCCCTCATCATCTGCACCTTTTTTCCCAGGACAGCAATCCTCTCTACAAAAGTGCTATTACGACCACCATCAATCCCCACTTTCAAAGGGCAGAGAATCCCATTTCCTGAGGGGGAATCTACCCAGGACCCTGTGCTCTGGGAGGACAATGGAATGGAGGGCAGGGCCTGGCAGGCAGCAGTCTGGTTGGGGAATAATCTGCTGCTGAGGAGTGGCTGCCACCCTACTTGGTTTTCAGTGACACCCAAAGGGCAGCTTCCTACTGCTGCAACCCTGTTCCTCACCTCACGAAGAACATGCCTTGCTCTCCATGCAATAAAGTATCTTACTCTAGACTACAGCTGTCATTTTGCTCCACCCCATTGCTTTTAGCCTGGGCTTCAGGAAAGGTCAGCTCCATTTCTCCCCTGGGCATCTGAGGGCAGGGAGCAGCCTGGGATCCAACTTTCCTGACCTGCAGTATGCTGAACTCTCGGGTGGCACTGTTCAGGACAGACTTAGCTGGTGCCTGACCCCACCTGTCCTGCTGTGCACAGCTTTCCTCAGAACCTACGCTGTTTTTGCTTCTACTTGTTGCTCCTTGGTGGAAAAGAGGAGTTTTAATAGGGTGTTGGAAACTGAGGGATTGGTTATATTAGAGAAAGAAACAAAAACTGCTAAAACCACTCTGGCCCCCAGTGAAAAAGCTTCATGAAAGGATAGTCTTCCCAAAAAGGAGATGGAATGTAGAAAAGCCCCCTTTTTATTTAAATATCCTAAATATATCACGAAGGAACATACACTGCACTTTAATGGTAAAAAGATACAAGTTTATAACATCTTATAAAAACTACCATTTAAAAGTGATCTTGTTCATTTAATAGTCCCCTCCCCCATAGCAAAATAAGTATATTAAAAAAAAAAAAGTGGAGAGGGAGGGTAAGAGGGGAATTGTTGAAGATGAAAGCCCCAGGGCCACAGCAGAGGCAAAGAGCATATGAGGAGAGGGTTAAAAGTTGTGGTGGACTCTATACTCATTTAACCCCTGCAACACCAAGCCATGGGGCACAATCAGTAGCTATGTGATGACAAGAGGCTGCTGGGGGGCGGTGTGGACAGAAAGATGGGGAGCTGGTCAGGCAGAGCTGGTCCGGTCTGGTGCAGGAACTCACCCAGAAATGGGGACTATCTTTCCCAGGTCCCCCAACTGCATGTCCTGCTCTCAGAGCCTGTCCTGGCTCCACTTCTGCACATTCAACACACCCCTGAGGCATCTCTCCAGTGCATGGCCTCACCCCGGCTGAGGGGTGGGCACAGGGCCCAGGAGCCTTTGCAGTGGTCTTGGACTGTGGGTTCTCTGGGTAGAAGTAGGGCTCCTGGGCCCTCTGTCACCCCTTTGGCTGTCTCCTCACACATCCATTGCCCTGGAACACCAGCACCTGAACAACTGGACTAACCACCTCCTTCCGAGTTCCCCATGCCCAAGCCTTGGCAGGAGTGGTTATGGTACAGCCATTTGCACACATGCTCAGAAGTTCCCACCCATCCACCCAGGCAGGAAGTGGATGTCTTCAGGGGCCAGAGGACATTCTGATCTAGCATACACATTCATACACATAGGGGCACAGGTCACTCATATGATTCTCTCCACACACCCCCATCCCAAAAAGACCTGCTCCAAGTGGCAGGTACAGGGCTCCCACTTTCAAAAGCACTTTTAGGAGAATAACTTTCTTAGTGTATCCTCTTTCCCAGAGTTGAAACAGAACTCCAACCCTAGAAGAGGCCTCTAACAGGAAGGGGATTGGCTCACATGCAGAAATTTGCCCATTTGCAGGAACCACAGGGCAGATCCAAGGACCAAGGTGTAGGTTGTAGACATCAAATGAGAATGTCAGCATAAAGCTAGAACACATGGCCATGAACATCTTCCTCAGCATCTTCTCCAAAGGAGCTCAGATGCCATCAGAGAAAAGCTAAAGGATGCCATGTCTCCTTTATTCTTCCCTGAAATCTCTCTACCTCGGAGGAATGGAGAGCTTCTATCTCCACCTATCCCCAGAATAGGTAGAGACCAGAAATTTGCTGCTGTTGCCTATTTCCTACATTTTATAGACAATGAATCACACTTCCTGGAGGCTGCCATTTTGGATCTCATCAACAGTTTGGGGCTTAGGTTCACCCAGTCTCCACGAGTACTCTTAAGAGAGTTTCCCCACTCTCACCTGTCAGAGTAAGACACGGGGTGGTCAACCAAACCCTGGAATCTGTCATAAGGATCCTTTCTTTAGCAGGAAGAAAAAGGGTCTTTTATTTCACCTTAGAAAATTCACACACACAAATCCTGGTTCGGGTCAGAAACACCCTAACCACTAGCCTGTTGAACTGATCTAAAAAAACTCTTATTCAACAAAGCCCTTCTGTTCTCTAAATGGATTCCTCAGCTCCTGCTGGGACCTCAAGCTCCCTTCAAGTGTGGGTGGGAAGTGGCTGCTTTATGTTCATCTCCCTTAGGCCAAGGGCCAGAGAAAGGTTTGGTTTAATAATACAACACCTTCTCCAAACATACAGACGTGAGCACTCGTGTTCCACACGCACACCTCATCACTTTTTTGGGAGATGGACATGGTGGTGCTTTTGCAGCAGAGAGGAGCAAAGAATGTGGTTAAGAGTAAAATCCACATTAGGTTTCTCCCTGTGGCCCCTTCTTTGCAGCATCCCTCATGTCCCCATTCTTTGCTGGGTGGGATGGCTACTAAGGAGGCCAAGATCTTGTTCTTTGAGACCAAAGGCCAGACCCCTACTCCTCTACCTGAATACAGTGTTAGGACTTGGCAGGAAGAACCACACCTACTGCTCAGCAGTTGTGTTAGGGGCTACCAAATCCCCGTTTCTTAAACAGCTGTTAGCCAACTTGGGACTAGTCCTGGGTTGTCTCTAAGGGGGCACCAAGGACAGAATTCCTTTGAAATTCATGACTCCTTGCTCAACATTTCTGTCTGGCTTTAGGAATCAATGACAGTGAGGTAGCCACAAACCGTATCCAAGACTAACGGCCCAGAGAGAAGGAAAGGGGTTCGTGGGTCCCTCTCACCCAAGTTTCCTCCAAAAGGCACTTGAGCTGACCTTATCAGTACCAGTGCGGCGTGGGGCATTACAGTACCCATGGGCACAAATCTTGCTCTTCTGAGGAATAAGAGGTGCTGCCCACTCTTCTCGGATCCAGCCCTTGTCTGCTCCTCTCATTTTTAATTTTGTCTCTACAGTGTATAAGAAGGCCAAAGTAAATTCGTATGCCAACCCTGATCTTATTCTCCCTCAAAGAGGAGGTGACATGCAGGTCTGTGGAACACTGAAGATTTACTGTAACTAAAAACTCAATTTTGGGGGAGGGCAGCCATAGTCCTTACTTTGGACCAGGACTTTATGCCTCCAGATTACCTGCATCCACAGTTTACCTGCTGAAACTGCTTTTGGACAGACAAAAACAAGAACAGAACAAACTCCCTTCCCAATCTTTTCCATTTCAGCTGTCAGCTGGAGTCCAAGGTTGTGGGAACCACACTTCAGTCTTGGTCCTACACTGTTAAGTCCCCATCTATGACCTCAGCCAAGGGTCCAGGGACTAACTCCCCTACCCAGGAATGCTGTAGAAACTTCCCGAGATACTTATAGTCTCAGATTATTTACAGAGCGCAGGCTCTGGAGTCACTGTCCCCTGAAGCATTCTTCTGGTCTCCTGGATCCGCTTCGACAGGAGGGGAACAGGTCAGCAGAGGTGGTGGTGGGACCATCAGACCAGAGAGGGTACACTCTTCAGTAGATTCTTCTGATCACTCCCACCACCCAGGGCCCCTTGCACCTATAGAGAAAACTGCCCATCGGAAGTCTTGGATTGGCACCCTTGGCACATCCGTTTGTGTCTGAGTAATCGATCTGTCCGAGAAAAACACTGAGAAGAAAAGGACGATTAAGTGCCTAAGAGGAGGAACTCAGCTGCCTGTTAACCGGCTTATAACCCCCACTACCTAAAAGCACACGTGTCACATTCTATGCCCCCTCAGCATGTGCAGATGCATGAGCACAAAGTGATTATGAATGCAGGTGTAACAGCCTGCCATGGTGGCTCATGCATATAATCCCAGCTCTTCGGAAGCTGAGGCAGGACGATTACTTCAAGTTTGAGGCTAGCCTGTACTACATAGTAAGTCCAAGACCAGCCTGAACTACAAAACCCTATCTCAGAAAAGCAAAAACAAAACAGAAAATGCAGGTGCTGGAGCCAGCATGCCTGGCTCTGTCACTTAGTAGTGAACCCAAGTAAGTTATTTAAAGGCCCTTAATCTGTACATGATCTGTAACATGATGCTAGAAGTCCCTACTCATGGCACAGCTGCTTAGCCAATGAATATATATTGAGTATCTATCTCAAGCAGAAACAGTTCTTGTCCTTGCTGAGGACAAGGTGGAGAACGACAAAAGCCTCCCTCAAGGGGGTTTCATTCTAGTGTTGTGAAGATTCAGTGTAAGAGTATGGAACAAAGCCTAAAACCTAGCAACGCATCCAAAAAGTATCAGCTAATATCATTTATCTCTTGTTCTTGTCTTACTTTGGTCCTGACACCATTCCCATCAGATCGGACACCGACCCTCAGGGCAAAGATTCTATCTCTTCTTCCAGGTCGACTCTCCCCTTGATCTGCAGTTTCCCTGAGAAACTTAACTTTTCTGAATCCAAATTTCCCCATTTGTGAAATGAAGACAGTACAACTACCTTATGCAGCTAATGTGAAGATTAACTAAAAAAAAAAAATAAAAAATCCATAAACATGTTCTCAATATTCCAGTGACCCATTTCTACTATCAGCTGCACACAGCCAGAGATGCACTTCATCCTGAGGCACTGAGTCTATTATGCCAGGTGGTTCCCTTGTCAGTCAAGTTTATGTGTGGTGCTACAGCGGAGATGGGTGATGTGTGAGCCTTACCTGATGACATCGTTCACACTGGTAAGGCTTTTCACCACTGTGCACACGCTTGTGGCGTTCCAGGTGGTACTTCTGGATGAAGCGCATATCACAAATATCACACTCAAATGGTTTCTCACCTGACCCAGGTGGAGAGAGAAGTAAATGTCAGGAGGGATATATGATAGGGACCACATTCCAGTTATCTTCCCAGATACCTAGGCTATTGTATATGTGAAAGGTCACCAAAGCTGCTATCTCAGTAGCACAGAGCCATGCATTCTACTTCCTTTGTTTATCCTCTTCCTCCACTTCTAATATTTCCCCTGGAAAATAAACCCAACCTGAGCGCTACACATTCACACAGAATACAAGCTATGGACTCTTCGCCCCTTTGAATACAAGCAAGAGACTTACCAGTATGAATAAGGATGT